GTCCACATGAAAGGCGGTATGAGATTTTTCTCTAGCTCCAGAGCAAATTGTTAAGATATATATCCCTGCCTAAAAGTAAATGAAATACTTAACTACAACTGTCAAAGTTCACACATGGAAATGTTGGAGTTTGGCACTTAATTTTTCCAAGATTTCTTACCAATTCTTTACTCAAAAAGAAGTATCACCACAGTGCTTCAAGGTTGACCTTCTAATGCCTCTCAACTTAAAAGTGTTCTTCCAGTTTAAGAGCAAAGCTCAATATGGTTATTTTTCTTAAACCGTACCCTGCCACCACCACCCTACACACACACACACACACACACACACACACACAAATTTAGTTACTACCTAAAGAACACACATAAATATCCAAGGTACAAATTAGATCCTTGATTCTTAACCTGTTTTGTTGCATCAGGCACCCCCTTTTAAGAATCTGCAACATGCTATCGAATTCTCCCCCCAAAATTTGGGCATACACATGTAAAATGTGTATATAAAGTCAACTAGTTCACTACATTGCAAAATCTCATACCTAATACACAAGAAAATGTGGACGGGTTACTTCTGAGACAGTAAGGAATTATGAAAATAGTATTGGGAGATTTTTTTTTTTACTAGTCCTCCTTCTGTAGCTTTTGAAATTTGCGTCTGACTGTGTTACCTATGAGGAAACACAGGCTTTCAACTTCTGTGAAGAGTTGCACTCTCGGAAACCCAGAGGCAGGTCCCTGTCCTACAGGGTCTCTATGAGTTAAAATCAACTCAATAGCGATGAGTTTTGGGGTTTTTTTGGGGGTTTTGTGTTACTTATTTCAAAACAGAGTAATTTTATAGAAAAAAAAAAAAAGATGTCACACTAGGTAATCTAGCAGACCACCAATGTAAATGGTGCAAATCTCTAAATAAAGATGCTTAGAAATAGCTGGGCTACTAAATTCAATGTTTGCACGTTTATTTATTTGAATTCTGGGGTTATAATGATTCATCACTACGAAACTATGCTTGCACTTGTTTCTGAAATTCCAAGATTTCCATGTTCAACTTTTTGTTAGGAAAACAGAAAAAGTCAAATAATAATTCTATTTTATCTACTAAAAATTTCAGCGAATGCAGAATGGCTAGCTAGCATTTGTTGGAAGGTAGCAATCACACATGTGTTCATTATTATTATCCTATTTTATAGACAATGAAACCCTGGTGATACAGTGGTTATGTGTTGGGCTGCAATCCGCATGGTCGGCAGTTAAAAACCACCAGCAGCTCCTCGGAAGAAAGACTGGGCTTTCTACTCCTGTAAACAGTTACAGTCCCGGAAACCCACAGAGGTTGCTGTGAGTGTGCATTGACTCAATGGCAGTTAGAATATTTTATTGACAAGGAAACCCGGGTCTTCAGGAGCTAACTCATTCCCAAACCAGGGGAAAATGGAATTGGCAACGCTCCGACACCATGGAACACTATCACACGGAAGCAAGAAGGGTGATAAGCACCTTGAGAATATTGAGAAACACAGAAAAGGGAAAAAATTCTTGAGAGAATATTATTGATTTTAAAGACTCTTTAATGGATTGTGATAAGAGTTGCATGAGCCCCTAATAAAATGATTAAAAAATAAATAAATACTCTTTATATATACATATATAAATACACTTTAGAGCATGAGCTGATCCTAAGAATTTGGAACTATATGCACCTTCTTACTTTATATTACTCAAAGCAGATATGGATGAACCAGATGAATTATCCTACTCAACAGACAACACAAAAGCAGTTTCAAATTAGAATTTTTAAAGTCTAACAAATCATCACTCAAAAAAGAACAAAAAAATGTAAGCTGAACTTTAAGCCCAAACTTAAAATAAAAAAAAGAAAGGAAGGAAGAAACTGCTTTCATTAGAGGAACCCAAGATTAGCAATCGGAAGATTCTAGCACCAAGAGGCAAAGAGTTTATTGTTGCTGATTGATGCCTCCAGTCAGCATAGCTTTTGGAATATTTAACACTGAATGCCCAAGCTACCTGCAAAATGCCTAAAAAATGTAGAACAAATTGTGAGGCTGGAAATAATGATGCCGCCTTCATTATAATTTCATCTTCAAAGAATTGGTATTTTCAAAACCATTTCATTCAAATCTAAAGTTAAAGGATCTTTCAAAGTCAAAGAAAGATGAAAATACAGCATGGGAGAACATCCACAGTCCTCTCACCAGATACTACTATGATTTCTCATCATTAGAAACAGGTGTGCACACACATGCATGTGTCTGTCCAAACGTTTGGTGGGACTGTCAGTGTTGAGTGATTTGGTTTGTCTGAGTGAGTGGCTCCGCTAGATAACTGTCAGAGCTTGCCGCCAGTCCCGCTGGATAAGCACCAGCAAGGCATCCTCATCCTTTCTTATCAAGCACATCAGGCTCTAAACCTCCACTGGGTTTTTAATCACTGAAATCAGTGAGAGCCCTTCAGACTCAAAAATCTTAGGACTCTTAACAAAGTCTCTACCTGCTAAATCTATCCTCCATTTTCATTATGCACAGTTGGGGGGAGCAGGTCACGATAGCTTACACAGAAGTACATGTTAATGCTGCCTTCTATAGAAAACAGCATCAGGAGCACAATCATCAAAACGCCACCCTGCCTATTAGAGAACATACAAAACAGATGAAGCGCTCCCTTCGCTTTGTGGTACAGTTCCGTTGTGTTACAGCGACCTTTGAAATCTACGATTTACAAGTCTTACCAGTCACATAGGAGACACACAAACATTCAGCTAATGACAATAAACACAGGAGTGATCATTACTGAATGCCAAATTTCTGCAGTTTCGAGAATTATTAAAAAGATGAGTTGTATACCGCTAATTATCAATTATTGTTTACATAATCGCTACTTTCAAATTTCCCTGGGAAGTGACAAAAGGCATTGAGAGCATATATTTACCTATTTCTTTAAGCAACTCACAAATTTTAAATGTAACTTATTGTGTACCCCAAATAAAATGAACTACACTACTATCTAATTCAGTTAGAACAATACTATAAACTATTCAAATCATTAACCATCCTTTGGCAAGTATGTATAATTTATTCTCATCTCTCCTGCAGGAATGAAGGAACAGTAATTTCTAAAAGTTGGTAAGAAGGCAACATACAAATAAAATTAATCCACTAAAAGACATACCATTTAAGAAATTCTTTGCCTTCAACATAAAAATCAAATGCAAATACATGTTTCTAAAGTCTATGGGTGACTGGATTTCTATAGAGACAGACCTGGAAATGTAATGCATAAATGATTTCCAAAATATTTACCCAGAATGTGCTTGCTATTCAAGAATCACTCTTAGCCTAAAATTAGACTTATGAATATATCTATTATTACTTGGTCTTGTTGCTCTCCAATTCTCCAATATGGCGAAACGCTGAGCAAGTTCTCAAAAAACATATCTTGAAAAGTAGATTCCTTGGAAATTCCATAATGCAACTTGACTTCATTTTAAAACACGGGGGAAGGCTGCAGCAGGGGGTCATGGACAACAAAGTACTACAGCACATGCCCCAATCCTGCTCATGACCCAGAAAACCAGTTTAAACACTGGCAACGGATGGTCAACGGAGTGCTCATTTACATGTTCACCCTTTTAGCAATGATATGTTAAGTTCTATCTAATCCTTAAAATGTTTAATTTACTTCCTGCAAATAAAATCCTCTGCCAGATACAGATGCTAATAGCCATACATGTCAACTATAGTCAATAAATTACTAAAGAAGTCAATATGCCAGCCAGTTTCGCATGTTAGTTTTAGCCCTAAAGTGTGTCCCTTTCCTTTTTCTGCCAAAGCTTCATACAGACCATTCACTTTTACCAGCAAAATGTGGAGCCAAAATTGTCACCCCATAACTTATTAGAGTTCAACTATACTATCCAGTACGTAGATCATCTTTATAGGAATCAAAATTCATTTCATTTCCACCAATTTGAGGTTTTAACATTGAAATGTTAGTTGTTGTTTTTTTAAAGTTCATAGGGGAAAAATAGAAGTTTAAAATGTCCTAGACTACATTTTGATGACCTTTTCCAATCAAACTCCCAGTTTTTCCTGTAAAACCGTGTGAATTCACAGAACAATTATGGAAATAGATGTCCGCAAACCAGGTTGTCAGATTTCCTCCCAGCCACTAAAGTGAATCATGCTGTCCATGTCTCCATCCTCCCCACTCTGACAAAAATGCACCTTAAGAGGTGAGTAGTCCAATAGTGCACACAACATAAAAACGGTATTCTCATACAATTCAAACAATGCCTGTTCATAAACAAGAAGCAAATTAACAAGGAGCTTCAAAATGTATAAGCACACACAAGTAATAGTTTAAGATCTAACTGGGGTGTGGTGGGGGCCGGGGGGGAGTTCTCAAAACATCCTGTCCACCTTAAAAGCTGCCCTTAATTCATCCTAGAGAAAAACAAGTGTGGTCATTGTTTATCTTTTCACCTATCCAAAAGCAAGAAGGCATGCAATCAATTACAACCTCTCCCCCACCCCCTCAATTTTAAAAAATAATATATTCTTTCAAACCACTTTCTAGCTGTAGATCACGGTATCATCTCTACCGGATCTACATCCTGTGAGGAAGAGCGCACCGTTTGTAGTTGTCAGTGCTTGTCACACAACCACTTCGATGTCCACATGAGAAGAAATGAAAAGCGCAGGCCCAGGGAGCTTCAAGATTTTCTTGGCCTTCAGTTTTTCTACTAATCAATGTGAGGGAGTCTCCTGATAATTAGTCCATCGCTATTCAGATTAAAGTGGGCCCTTTAAAAAGGAGAATGGATACCTGGTCAGCCAAGCAGTAACTTCTATGTGTCTGGAGCCTCTTATACCCTCAATTGGCAACACAGAACTTGTAACAGAGATGAAACTCGACAAAAAGGGAAACTATGTGTAGAGAAAGATAGAGTGATAAAGAAGTTCATCACCTGCTCATAAACCTTACCTTTTAGCAGCGGCAGAGGTGTTAACTCAATAGGTTTGCCTTGAGACCTAAACTGTGAGGAACTTTGCGACCTCTTCTGTCTGGCTTTTCTGACGGACTTCCGAGAAAATCCGTCTACTTTATCCACTGATGGAGGAGTAGTTGGTGCTGAGGACATATCCCTACTGAAGAGAAAAAGGAATCATAAACATATTCCCAAGAAAGCACACAAGTGATTTATACAAAGTCTAAAGTATTCATAAACAATATTCGTGAAAATGGAAAAGTACACTAAAGAAATTTTTTAAGGTCGCATGTCAATGGAGAAGCATGACTATTCTGGGGAAAATGGAAGCTCATAACCAGGATGTAAGCATCACTCTAACGCTGTCCTACTCCTCTGTTACTGTAAGTATTAAAGACGTTCACTTAGACTTGAATAACGCCTCTAAGCCCTTTGTCCCTGTTTTTGTAACTGTAAAGTTCTTCTTATCCTGAGATTCCAGAGATAATTGTGGAGCTATTCTGAAGCTGGAAAACTTTCATGTATATATTTTCCTAAAGTATTTAATATTACAAATGGGCTCTGGGGCTGAAAATCTTAATGCACTTCAAGAACCTTCACCGATACATCATCATAGCACAGTGAAATGTATAATTACTCAACTATCTGAACACAACTTTTAATGCAATGCTGTTAGCTATGATAAACTGCACCCCACTGCAAAATGAGGACAGGCTAGATTACTTTAAACAGAACTCATAAAAGGCACAATTAAAACCATTTCAAAGACGTTTTCTTTTTTGAATGGTCATCTTAAGTTATTAAAACTTTACAAATAAAACTATGATGAAATCATGTGCCAAAGTTGAACTAAAAACATAAAGTCACAGCCTACTTAAGACAACTAAGTTGAGTTTCCTTGAGGTTCATATCTTTAAGTTCATCATCAAACACTCACTTCATTCCATCGAATTGGATTTTTAACCCTCCAAATTATTACAAGAGGGATATTTCCTGAAAGTAATAAGCACTGAGCTCAATTTCACTTGCTAATTTAAGCAGATGCCATCAGTTCCACGGCACTGAGATTCCATGCAAGACTAATAGCAAGCAGAAATAATTTATATGGGGGAAATGCTAAAATGCAATTACTCACCTGTCCTCTCAATACATAAGTTATTGTGCGTGTGTGTGTGTGTGTGTGTGTGTGTGTGTGTTTTAACTTCACACAAAGAGGAAGGGAATGCTTCTGAAACATGCGAACACATGCGAACGTAAAAAGTTACTTAAAATTACCTGGATTCTGAAAAGAGTAGGTAGGAGTATCTAAAACAAACAGAAAAACAAACAAAAAGAATACATAATGTTGAGGTTTGGAATTCTTAAGTCTTGTTTGGTTCTGTTTCTTGCTGAGTTTGTTTCAATGAGGCTTTAAAAATATCTACCTAATTTAACCTTGTATGTAAGGTCTCATTTCCCAACGGGAATTAAATGCAAAGAATGGCTATATAAAATGTAAAACCACTTCAAAATGTCATGATGACTGCATCAGCGAAAAGCTCCACATCACATTTTCATGTTGTAAATTTGGGTTCGCTTCACCAATCTGGTCTGTGAATTATTCAGCTTTCATTCGAACCCTACCCTAACCTTAGCAACACCAGGTTTCAGGGACTCCTGCCCCTCCATCTCGCTGAGGTGTGTCCTCTTTACTCCTCATCTTGCATCTCTAAGGACTATATATAGGTAGCTTTCCTTCCTTTTTCGTTAATTCATTTGCCCCTAATGCCCGCGGCCCAGAAGAAACGTCAAGGATCTCAACCCTAGACGCTGCAGACCTGAACGTGCAGCTGCGGCCGATCTGTGCAAAGCCACCGGGAAACAGGTTTCACCCCGAGCCAGGGCTCCCGGAGCTTTCCCACCCTCTAAGGCTTAGAGGGAAGGGGGCACGGGGCATTTCCAGGGCTCGGGGAGAATCCAAACTGGGAAGAGGGTGCGGGGAGGAGAAAGATAGGGAAGGGGCTCGCCTGTAGGGATGCTTGCACATTTCCTCTGCTCCCACCCTCTAGCCCCAAGCCCAATAGCAAATCCTCCTCACTACACCAAGCCCCGGGTTCTCCCCACCACCGACCATGGGCAAAGAGGGGCAAGCATGCACCTCCAATCCCAAAAGGTGGAGAAAACAGAGGGTGAGGGAAGAGTGGAACGGGAAGCATCAGAGGCATTTCCAGGTAAATCAGACAAGTGGCACGGGCGCTCCTCTCCTGCACGCCGCCCCGTTGCACCCCTCGCTCGCCCAGGCAAGGCCTGCTAGGGGCCGGCGCCCCTCGGGTTCCACAGGAGGTTGGGCAGCAGGGAAGGGAGCGGGCAAGCCGCGGCGCCGGAGGGACGAAGTTACCTTGAAGCTTCTGGGGAAGAATCCGAAGATGGTCTGTGGTTTCGAGGGGCAGGAGCCGGGCGAAGGGGCCGCAGCGGGGGCGGGCAGCGGGCGGCGGGGCCGGGCAGTGCAGGGGGAGGTCGGAGCAGCGGCGGGGAGCCCCGGGCGACGGCTGTCCGGCGCGGCGTCCCTCCGGTTCCGCGGCGGCGGCGCCTCTAGGCCTCACGGCCGGACCTGAACCTCAGCTCTCCGGCGGCAGCGGCGGCGGCCTCACGATCCTCCCCCGCGGACCCGTCCCA